ATAAAAACTGTCAAAACGCACTAACTTTCTTTAGGTCATTAACTCCCCTTGGAAGGGAACAAAACTTCTAAAAACAAAAATAAATACCACTATTGAACATTACTTCTCTAACACAGCCGCGTCCGCAGAAAATTTAAACCATTTAGATCTGTAGTCGTTTTATAGGAGTTATTTTGAAACTGGAGACTTTTAAAATATTTTAATCCTTAATTAAATGTAATTTCTTAAAAATACATACTATTAGTTTTTTTTTTTTTTTTTTTTTTATTTAAAGAAAAAGAAATCCTCGTGCACCACAAAGTATCGCACGAGACTTACAAATCGTAAGTACTATTAGTTTACGATATAAATTTTTAAATCTTAGTGGAAAATAAAAAAATATATTAAAAACAAATTGCTTCTTTTCAAAGTATGAAACCGTAATAAAAAGACTTCAATCACACAGATTAGCTTATTGATTGAGGAAAAGCGAACGAGGCTGTCTACTCCCTCAATCAGATCTACTTCGTGTCAAATAGATAAGATCTACATCGTATTAAATATCTTGGTCTACCTCGTAATCAAGTAGATACGAAGGCTGACTTCAGGGAGTAAATAGACTTTGTAACTTTTAAAAACTAGATTCTTCTAATACGGCAAAGTATACAAAGGCTATCGATCTAAGTTAAAGGTGCCTTTATATGCAGTAATTCTACGGCAAACTGGCTCCTGTATTCACTTTACACTTGGGGAAAGCGACAAGGAACACCATTCAGTCGGCCCCTTCCTTATGATTCGAACTCACTCTATCAGTACTTAGTGATCTTAAACACTCAGGCATGGGTGCGATTGACTGGCTAATGGAAACTGATTCATATTTACGTTACATACATGGACCAAAAACATGAAAAATGGTTTCGATCTATAATTCTGTAAGAAAGCAATATTGGGCTGTATAAGACCTACTTCATTATGAAACGGCGTCTTGAAGCGAAATTTTGAATCGAATGATGGAAAGGCATTCCGATGGCAGCTGATAGTTCCAGGATCCTGGATCCCAAACATACATAGCAGTCCTATAAGAGACTTTATACAGACTTTGAAAGGGCTTCTGCTGGTTTAAAACAAGGGCTGATGTGAAAAAATACTGCAGATCTTGGGATGCCTGTGCGGACCGGAAAGCACCGGAAGAAACTGCAACGTTACAATGTAGAAATGCCTTCTGAACACATCGCCTTCGACATTCTAAGACCTCTACCGCGATCTGCTGATGTCAACAAATATATCCCTGTTGTCAACATATTTGTTGTTGTTGTTGTTGTTGTTGTTGTTGACCTATATAATGCCTGTCTTAAGTTTACTCTTTTTCCAGATTATTGGAAAATTGGTCGAATTATTTTGATCCCTAAGCCTAATGGAAAGCAAAGACCCATTACACTTTTGAATATTTTGGGTAAGATGCTAGACAAATTGGTAACTAATAGAATTTTACACTTTATGGTTAATAAATGTCCACTTAGTGAGTTTCAATATGGATTTACCTTTGGAAGAGGTACGGAGGATGCACTTTACCGGTTGGATATGTCAGACGTTTTAGGAGTGAACAACACGTAGCTTTGATTTCTTTAGACATTTCGGCTGTATTTGATTCTGTTCATTGGTCTTCCTTGTTGCATGGTTTAATTGATTTAAAAATACCTAGAAATTTGTTTTATTTATTTAAAAGTTATTTTAGTAATAGAAAAATTGTTTTTAACTGTTTTAAGGATAAGAGTAAAGAATTAGTAATGAATATTTATAAAGGGCCCCTTAGGGCTCCTGCAGTGCTCCCCTGCTCTGGAACATTATTGTGGATAACTTGCTGAAGCAGAAGTTTTCTCAAAATGTGGAATTGCATATGCTGATGATATTATGATTCTTATAAAACACGATTCTCTTGAAAAAATTGGAAAAATTATTTGATGAAACTGCTCTAATACTAAGTTATTGGCAAAAGAAAGAAAAATTATAATTTAATATTGAAAAATCATGTGTATTGTTTTTTCCCAGAGGAATTAAAAAGACTAGACTACCAAATTTGAAATATTAAGGCAAAAGAATTAAATTTGTAGATAATGTGAAATATCTTGGCGTTATGATTGATAACAAATTAAATTTCATAGAACACTTTAAGTTGGTACAAAGACGAACTAATCTGATTTTATTGAATTATAGAAGAACTTTTTCGGCTGAGATTTTAGCCTTGAAATCCTCCATTCTGATTTACTTAAATGTAGTGCTTCCAGTCATCATGTATGGAACTGGAGCCTGGGGATCCAAGGCAGGGGAACTGGTTAGATTACGGATGAAGTTAGACAGTATTCAGAGAGCTTGGAGTTTAGCTTTAACCCGATGTTTTAGAACGGTGCCTACCGAGGTTGTCTTTGTGTTGGCTGGGCTTCTTCCTCTCTCAATTTTATACGAATTGTATTATGAGAAATTTTTTATTTAAATGGACGAATGGAATTGAAAATGTATGAAGATTATTTGGTTACAAAGAATGTTTTTGAAAAATTTAATATTCCATTTAATACATCTTTCCAATAGATTTGGTGTTGTTTTTTGATAAAAGTAATACAACTGTTGATGTATTTGATATTTATACAAGATGGTTCTGGGGTCGAAGGGAGAGTAGGACCTGCCTTTGATGTTTTTTACTATGGAACTGAGGTGGATTGTAGAATGTTTAAGTTGAATATATATAATTCAGTTTTCCAAGCAGAAAGCGAAGCGTTCAAACAAGCCTTATTATGGATTAAAAATACCTTGTGTATATCCACGTCTGTAAATATTTACACTGACTGCCTGTCACTCCCGCCCAGACAATTTCAATCCATTAATTGTCGAAATTAAGAGTCATTTAGAAACTTTGAGTTCATATTTAAATATTAAGCTACATTGGATTAAAGCCCATATAGGCTTTATTGGTAATGAGAGGGCCGACAGCCTGGCCAAGAAGGCGGTCTCAAATGTCAGTGCAATGGATATTGAAGTAACAGGGTTCGAAAAGAATTGCTATTCGAAGAATGAAAGAATTTTACATTAACAAATGGAAAATACAGTGGTTCTCTTCACCTAAAAACAAAGGGTTTATGAAACTAATTAAAATCACGAATAAATGAAATGTATGAACAATATTGATTTTAATCTGGTTTTAACTGGACATGGTAGGTTTCCGTTCTATTTCAACCGATTTAATCTGCAGGAAAATAAACTATGTAATAGTTGTCAGGTTGATGGTGATGCTAGGCATTTTGTGGTTGATTGTAGTTTAACAGCCCCTATTAGACAGATTTTTAACGTTACTGATTTTAATGTAAATGTAATGAATTTTAAAGTTTTTAAATCATATTCTATTGCTCTAATGAAGTTTATCAATGAAAATAGGGCGCTGGTAGGAATATTCTGTTGAATTTTGTGTTTATATGGGTTTTAGATATCTGTGGTGTTCTATGTTGTGAATTTGTGTTTATGGATTTTTTTGTTTGCTTGTTGGTCTGTAATTTTGTGTTAGATGAGCTTACTTATTTTTGATTTAGTATTTTTGTTTGTTGTTTGGCAATGGTTGGGTTACTGGCTGCCCTCGTTTGAGGAGATACGGGGCCCCTTCTATTGAGCTATGGGGGACACTCGTGTCCAGGTGGGCTGAAGGGAGCCTCCAATTCCTACAATTCTTACATCTTCGTTGACAATGAGTACTTTATAAAGTGCCCTGAAGCGTATCCTGTCTCTGATCAAAATACTGTCACGGTAGCAGAGGTTGGGTGTGCTGCGTTAGCCATGAGACCGATTATTATCGACCAGGGGGTTGCAGCTTACTCGTATATTACATTATACCATTGGATTTCCAGGTTTGAAGTACCTCTTCGTTTACATTTCGATCAAGAAAGGAATTTTATCTCTCCTGTAATTAAAGAACTCTATAAACTACTCGGCATAGAGAAAATCAAAGCGATACTTTTACATCCACATTCAGACGACCATCTGTCTTTGCAGGTTTACATCCACATGCATTTATTTATTGATTTAGAATTCCATTTGTTGTATGTTATTTATTGAAATTATTGTTTCAATATCGCATTTAGCATTCAGTTATTGATTTTCTTTCCTTGCAAATGTGTCTTCCTGATATGAAATTGTCCTGCTCAGGCCGACAGTCTTTGGGAAGGAAGCAATGTTACGAATTTTGTATGCATTGTTGTATAAGTAGTATGAAAAGCCCTTATATTCTTAAAGTTTTACAAAACTTGAAAGCTATTGAGCTCATATTATTTGGTAAACTGAGTACTGAAAGGGACAAAAGGAAACGCCATGAGATTTTTATATCGTAATTCGGAAATTAAGTTTGCTTACCAAACAGTGAAAAATAGTTCTATGGTCCCAGTTAAATACATAAAATCATCTTTAATTTTACGTCTATGATGAAAAATGTTATTATTTTTAGAAGAAAATGAACACGGAACTACTGAAGCTTTATATTACGGGGTATTGAAAAAATACTTATACTAAACAAAGAATTTTGGGGATCGTAAACTTATCTATTAGTATCACTTTTATGAAATACTGTCTATTTTAATTTGTCGTATACAAAATATTTCACATATTTTACATTTTATTTCTTATCACCTTAGTATTATGCTTATTAGTCAAAAATCTACTAGTTGTATATGATATTTTAATGAGGATAGTTTCATAGGTTATATACTATTTGTGGGAATGAACTATCCACTTTTAGATTCTAATTACCATTTACTATCTGAGTTTATAAACTATAAATACAGAAATCCTTCTTTCTAAATGTTTTGATAGATGAATTCGTTTACTCATCTGTTTTGCTAACGTTTGAAAGTCTTACGTTGCCATCTGGCGGTAGATTTGATAACGTTCTTAGACCATCTATATATGTTAATATACTTTCTATAATTCATTTATGTTGTCAGACGTGTTCTTGTTGTCTAAGGGTAGTAGCGCCATCTTTTGCCGTTAAGATGGTTTGTGAAATTTTGTAATTAACAGTTTTCGAAAATATGCTTCTTAATGAGTAATTAATGCTTTATTTTTTCATTTATAGTGATATATAAAATTAATAACGCATTCTTGAAAAGAATTTGAGCTCTGAATTTCCTTTCCGAATTTTTTAACATGCTGTGTGGGTACATCATCATATGGCATGGCTGACGCTGGAGGATGTGGCGGAAAGAGCGGAGGTAGTAATTGCTCTTATAATGATTTTAAATTATGTTCAATTTGAAATTCAGAAAAGTAGTTGTTAAACTTATCAATTCTGTTATGTTTTGTGGATAATCTTCATTATTTATATTGTGTAGCTAAGTGGCATATTCAGTATTCGTATACCGTGTTCATCTTCGTTTGTTGCCAATCTTTTCCCACTGCGTGATTTGGTACGGATTTGCCATGGTAATTCTGGGGTGGATGTAATGTATTATAGAAATTAACATGGGAGTTGGCTGACTTGGGGGAGGTGTTTATAACTTTTATTATATGTTTTATATTAATATATTTTGTTAACTTTTCGTTCATTAAAATCTATATAACATTTAAATTTCGTACAGAATTTTATTCAAAGTCGACATTTTTTCTTATAATTTGTTTCGTATTAAACTAAATCTGCGTTGTGCATTTCGTTAAACAATGCTGGTGATTTTTTTAAACAAAATTATTTGGTTATCATTATCAGTAATATTAGTTTTTTTTTTTTTTTTTTTAGGATTAGTTGCTGAGGACTAATTTTGAAATGTGCATGCGGTGTATCATTTATGATAGATTCCGTTTACTAATTATTGACAAAGTGTTGTGTACTAAATGTCTTATATTTAAATTGAATTTAGTGTTGTATGTTTAGATTGTATTTGTCATATTTTTACTCAAGATTCATTTTAAATAATTTCATATCAGATTTCAGTTATGATGTACTTAAAAATCGTGTGTATAATCTTACCCTGATATTTAACCGTATTTTATATTACTAAAAAATATTTTTTAGTTTTTGGTTTATATTTATAGCCTTGTTTTCCGTTTATTTCTGTATGAAAACATTGCCTGTTTTGTGTTATTTGTGTTACTGTAATCTTTTATGAAATAAATACTGTATAGATTATTTTATTTTTAACTTTTCTTGTCGAGAAAAACATTTTTCTTTTAAATTTAGTTTAAAATATATTTTTAATAAAATTTGGTAAAATGATTCCTCCTGCATGGCAGATATAACATCATAACTGAAATCTGATATGAAATTATTTAAAATGAATCTTGAGTAAAAATATGACAAATACAATCTAAACATAGAACACTAAATTCAATTTAAATATAAGAGAGTTAGTACACAACACTTTGTCAATAATTAGTAAACGGAATCTATCATAAATGATACACTGCATACCATTTCAAAATTGCCCTCAGCAACTAATCCTGAAAAAAAAAAAAAAAACTAATATTACGATAATGATAACCAAATAATTTTGTTTAAAAAAATCCCAGCATTGTTTAACGAAATGCACAACGCAGATTTAGTTTAATACGAAACAAATTATAAGAAAAAATGTCGACTTTGAATAAAATTCTGTACGAAATTTAAATGTTATATAGATTTTAATGAACGAAAAGTTAACAAAATATATCTTATCCGAATTAAAAGCACATGATGGCATGTTTTCAGTCTTTAACAAAAATGTATGGTTGAAGTTGTATATTGATTATTTTACTGTAGATAACTTTCTTGATTTGTCATTCTTGCATTCTGCATTGCCTTCTGTTTTGATGAATGTAAATCCTTATAATTTGCTGCATTTCAGGAGTTTATAAACATAAATTCATGTAATTTAAATATTCCAAAATTTATTCTTTTAAAGTAACATTGTAGGCTTTCTTAATTAGTAAGCAAATCATTCTAAAGAATAAACTGTGTGTAAAGACTTCTATTGTAATTTTGTTCTATTGCTTATTTATTAAACATGTCATTTTCTGATATATATATTTTTTTTGTTGCTTATTTTCTCATAAGTAAGAGCAGTCTGATAAAATGAAACAGTAGCTTCTTGGAATTCAGTAACTTCATAGGATGACACATTTCTAGAGATTTTTGGCATTTATTAGAATAAAGTTATGGTCTATCTTCCTCAGCGTTGAAGTTTTCAGAGCATCCGTTGAAGCAGTTACATCAAATAAAGGTGCAGTTAGTTTGCAGTTTTCAGTTGTTGTAATAACTTTATGAAATATTGAAGCCTGGGTGTTAGTAAAATATAGCTGAACTTCTCGACTAGATTTTCAGAGAATTTTAAAATAAGCATGAGACACTTTTTTGAGATTGAAAATAAGCCCAAGTGCTAAAAACATTTGAAGTACCCTTTCAATGGCACGAAGAAATGCTAACTGTTTTGTTTGTTGAAAAATTGATTTCTATGAAGTTGCAGAAAATTTTCAATGTTTCTTCTCTAGTATAGTATAAGAGTTAAAGTATATTTTAGAAATAATCTTTTCTATATCAACTGGCAAAAACATCAGCTGATGTTCTTACAGTGTTATGGATAATATGTGCTGCACATCTGATTCTGGTTAAGGTTTTGTTACATTTTTAACAAAAACAGTATTTTCTCCATGTCTGTCAGCACCTGCTAAGATAAAATTTGTATTGCCTTTGTATTATTGGCACAAAGACCAAAAACTTTTTTCTTTAAGACAAGTAATTAAATAGTTGCTAACAATATTGGATGTTTCACCAGGTAAGGATTTAAATTCTAAATTTTTTACTGCAATTGCATAACGTCGTTCTGTAAATCTAATAAGTGTTGGGAAAAGTTTTATTTCCTTGTGATTGAATGCATCAGTTAGGATTGAAACAAATGAACATTTTTACAAATCATCCTGCAAAGCTCTTAAAGCATAAAACATGAAAATATTTAGTATTATTACTTTGGCCTTGGTTCACACAAATGTAAATTTAAGCTCAACTGTCACTTGAAACAATTTGGACATGCAATCCATAGACCTAAAGCTATTATTCTGGCAAATATTATGGTATGTAGAAGTACCTTCTACTGCAGCTAATTCTTCTTATTACCCATTTTCTCCTGGTTGAAGAATTGTTTAATGATAAGCTGGATGCAGGAGCAGAGTTTGTTTTTGTTTTAAACATAAAAATGTTTATTATTGTTTATACAGTCAAAAGTCTTTAATCCGGACTCATCGGGACTTCGGCGATTCCGGATTATCGATTTTTCCGGATTATAGATCATCAGTTTAAATCTGGTAAGATGGCATGCAGAAATTATAAAATTAAAAATATGAAACCGTAATTTATGAAATAAAGAGCAATTATGATATAAAGTGTATCAAAATTTACAAAAAAAAAAAAAGCTTAATATTTATTTGTTTACTTTATTAAACATTTCTTTCAACGTGCGCATGCGTAAATCATACATTACGAAAGTCGAAATTAGAAAATTTCAACCAGAAAACTATTTGATGTGTATTTGTGATATTTATAATGACGAGGAATTTGATTTAAATCATATCAAAGACACATCGAGATAAAATACTACATTTAGTAAGGAATTATAAGCCGAATAAAATAAAAACATCTGCCCTGAAGATAAGGATAGTACTGACAGATCAACTTCCAGTTCATTCCAATATCAAATTAAAAACTGCAATGCTGTCTGAAGGTAAAAGTGTGAACCTTCAGCTATGAGCAAAAGTTCTGTGTATTTTTTTTTGGGGTGGGGAGAAATACTGAAATAAGAAATAGAACTTCCCCCACCACAACTTTTCTAAGGTAAATACTGGATGAGCAATCCCCGTTTTATGTGCCTGTATTCTTAGTTTGCAATACACTACTTAAATATATGCATTTAAATTTTATTCTCGCACTACTGTTTTTTGGTAAAAAAAAAGAGTTGTAAAAATCGGGACTTATACCTTAAGTATTTCCTCGGAGCTTTAGCACCGGAGTATATGAATTTTTTTTTAATATTTGTGCGATTCTTCCTTTTTTCACTGCATTCAAAAACAAACTCCTCTAGATTTTAAAAATGGATTCATCCATGTAGTGATTGTTTTCATCTTGTTAACAAACACTCACAAACTACCTGAGAAAGCCACATCAAAACTTTCCTTTGTAATTGTTGAGCTCTAGCCAACCTAATACAAAAACCAGCTAGTCACAACAAAAGCAAACACCAAATTGGCATTCATTCTATTATTTCACTGAGCCATCTGCACATTCTCCTTCTTATTTATGGTTAACTTTATTTAGGATTGAACATTCATAGTTAGAAGTTTCTTTTGACATGTGTACTATGAACATACTAGTATACAATTCATTGAAGTTAATGGTGTCAGTAGGTAGTTTCACATTGAACGAATTTTGATTTAAGACTGGAGAAAACAAAAAGATTCACTGAGAAAGTCTTCTTTAAAGTGGAGAGCATTTTGGGGGTCGAAAGCAAAAAATTTCTAGAAACTGATAGTGATGAAGTACTTGGCAGAACGAAGAAACTGTGGCATTGCTGAGTCATGTAAATTGATACAAATGAAAGCAAGGGAGGAAGAGAAGAAACATGGGCATTATTCCGTTAAGAGTGGCATCAGTTAAAAATGAGAAGAAAACAATGTTACAACATGCCAAATATTGTGGTTCAAGAATTTAAAATATTGTTACTCATATTTTTTTTGCCATATTTCATAATTTTTTTTAGTATGATGAATTACCTAATCAAAAGGCTGTCATGAAATTCTCTCAGGATAAAGCACGAATTCATAGCAATAGACTTCAGAATCTCCGATGAAGTCTATTGCTATGTTCTCAGAATCATCCGATGTAGTTAACTTTTCACTCAAACAAAGCTCCTATATAGTGTTGCTATGTATGTTCTTGCTGTGGAAAGATGAAGGGTTAAGAACCAAAACGTGGTTTGATGACTTGCTTCTTCCTTTCCTCAGTGGCATTCGTTTTATCTATCTGTAGTATCAAGAATTAACATTGACTATTTCGCTAACTTCAGTTAGAAATCTATCATAACATGACATTAGATTGTAATAGCTACTTTAAAGTCTTTTTACAAAAGAAAAAAAGGTACTTTTTGGTTTCGAGGGCCGTAAAAAATCGCCAAACTATTGTTGATGCCAATGCTGCCAAAAATAATTGTGGCAACCCTAATAATTGCGTCAAGAAAGGAAGTATAATAGTAAATAATTATCTAAGATTGATGTTTTAATTTAGACGAAAGGTTAATTTCATATAGTACTTTTTTATTATTATAATTTATGTGAAAAAGGCTAAACACGACTGAATGGAAGCATGAGAGTAAATAACTATTTCAGATCATTATTATAATTTATATAAAAATTGCTAAACATAACTGAATGGATGCCCGCATCGCTATTTCGCTACCGACTTATCGCTAAAGCATAATTTCATCTCGTTGGTTGTTCAAACGTAATTTTCTATAATGAATGATTCTTTTTCTTTGAAAATATTCTCGGTAAAACGCAGAATCGCTCACTTATTTGTTTGCCGCTTTTTACAAGGGTAAAAACAATTGAATTTTTGTTAATTTTCTTTTACTTTTTAAGTGAAAATAGGTCGATGTGTACATAGATAAAGTCAAGGGTGTGCGCAGTGCCATTTTTGTGCAATTCTAGAATTTTTTTTTAAGTGAAAATAGGTCGATGTGCACATGGATACTGAGTATGTGCAATTCTTAAAAACGCATCAAGCAGTGGGTGATTCTGTACTTTACCCAAAATTCTATTGCCGACTTTTCGTCATGGGCAATTTCGAAATTGTTATATCCATAAGATATCAAAAAAAGATTTAAAAATTAAACTAGTATGTCAATGGCGTCTTAAGAAATATAGAACTATATAAACTTACGCAATCTGAAATCAGCGCATACGCTAGATTTGCACGCTGTTAAATGGGCGCGTTTGCTAGATTTGCCGCTTTTGCGCACACATTTTCGCTGCAATTTTTTTACGGCCCTCAAAATCGAATAGTACCGAAAAAAAACTTAGGACGTGTTCTTTCAGAACAAAGGGTATTTGGGGTTTTATGCCAGGAAAAGCAAAGCAGATGGCAACATTATATTTTCAGACTGCTGGAAAGGATGTAAAAAAGATGAATTAAGAAATGCTGGGTATGAACATTTCACAGTTATAATTTTAGAGACCCCGAAACTGGATGCTATACCTGAGCTGTGAGGCAGTGCTACACGGAGAAATAAACATCAGCGGGGCACTGCTCTCCACCATTCAGAGTCGTATTTGATAGAATTTATATAGTGTCGGTTACATTCAAAAACTCAAAATTTTTCTGCCATATCACATGATATTTGTAATTTTATTCCATCTGTTTAGATTCAATTTCTTTTTTTTTTTTTTTTTTTTTTTTTTTTTTTTTTTTTTTGTTTTGTTTTGTTTTTGTTTTTAAATTTATGTGTAAAGTATTCTGAATTAAAAAAATTAAAGAATAATTTACTTTCTTTAAGAATTTTTTAAAAAATTACTTACTTTTATTCAAAATTACATGCAAAGGCACATTTACAAAAACTTATGACCGTGCTAATATTTATTTTTGAGTATTTAAAATATCCTCATTGATTGAGAATCCTGCTGACTGTGAAGTACGATCTCAAATATTCATGATGATGAACGAATTGGGTTACCTTCTGTCATTACTCAAGATCTCATTACATCATTTCAATGGGAACCACATGGATCACCCTTGTATAGTCCTGATCCAGTATGGATTGACAACAACCTGTTCTTGCATTTGAAGAAGTATCTGGGCAGTCTTGCATGACAGTGACGATGAGGTCAAAACGACTAAATTTGGGAATATCCAGTTAAAGCTCTAACATCCTCGTACTTAATATTAACCATTTTCCTACATACTTTTACATTCTCCATTAAAGTTGTCTCTCTTCATAAGCCAATCAAATTGAGTTAACCATTTGTCTTGAAACGACATTGAATATTTTGTCTTTGTGGCACTTGTTCACTTGTAGAATCAGAATCGTTTTTTTCACTAGACATTATTATGAAAGCATTTAAATAATTTCAAAATACGTACTTGTTTGTGGTTAGCTAGCTAATTGCAGACTAAATGAAAGAATGGATTGAAAATGAGAGGGTGAGGGAAAATGAGGGTGCGTGCACTTGATACGGCGGCATGAAATCACTATTCATCCCATAAGGCGCTTACTCGCCACTTACTGTTAGATCGCTGCTGCAAAGAATATGTATTGACATAGACGTTCTTTGGCTGCTGTGCGCGGTCGTGTGATTTTGATGCTCTCAACCATTCCGTCCGCATTGTGTCGTTATTTTCGAGAAACTTGATATTCTGGGAGAGTAATATTTATTTTAAATTCCTTCCAGGAGATTTTAATTTTCACGACTCAATTCCGGGAGAGGTGGGAACCCTACCAGCAGCAGTGGGTGGCAGTAGAATTTAGAGCAGCACTGAACAACAAAATAAAGGGATGGCAAAATCTTTAGCATTTAGGGGAGGCATTACAGCTCTGAGTTTTGAGAACTTAGAGGTACTTGGCAGCAGAATTTAGGATCCACAGTGACTGCACTAGGTAATAAAATGTCTAATGCTTGGCCCTTGATCAACCTAAACAAAATTTAGTGGAACAACATGTTTGTAGTTTCCAATCTCACGATACAACACCAGTAATGTATAACGGATGCAAGCTGAGTTTTAATGACTATAGCAGCAAATTTGAAGGTCTTCAAATATCACAAATAAATGGCAATAGTTTTCAATGAGTGGAATTTGTGAAGAAATGTGGAGATAAATGAAAATGATATAATAGAAGTTTTTCATTGTGAAGACACAGTCATCAGTCAACTACTGGATGGTGTTACGGACACAACATGTCACAGGAAGAAATTTCAGTATAAGTTTGAATCCCCCCCCCCAAAAAAAAAGCTCAAGTATTTTAAAGTAAGTACAGACGAGGGAAGATAATTTCAAGAGTTAATATAAACATTCAGTATAGAATGCTAAATTCTCTCCAGAAAATTAATAGCATAGCACCTTCACCACAAGGTGTTGTTATTGTCCCAGGTATGCTGAAATTATCATTCTTTTTTGCAATGAATGCTCCTTTTGGATGTCAGTAAAATGAATCACGAAGTTTTCTTAAGAGTATGAATGATGAAATAAAGGCATTTCAAGTGTCCCTCTTTAATTTCATGCAATCGCTCACAGCCAAGAAAAACAGTCAGTCAGTAGGCAAATCTTATTAAAAGCAATATTCGTAATGTTGATCAACTTCTAGCATTCGTTATTTAATTATAACAGGTGCTGCCATTATACCATTTTTTTATTTGTCAAGAAAGGCGAGAAATATTTACTGTATGCAAATATTTAATATAAAGAGCTTCAGTGTTAATATTAGATTTAGGCTTTTTTTATTTATGTTATAGTTTTTATTGTTTTTGATTGTGAATATTTTTCCTTTAGGCATGTAAAATTCAAAAGCTCGTTGCTCCAGTCTAGCAACTGGAACCCCTGAGTGAATGGGTTAAGTCTATTGCAAGAAGTTGTGGCTGGCAAAGAGAGAAGCTCGGATGAGCAGGATAGGAATGCGAGATTCCGATGGCGAAGGGCAATCCAGAGATGGTAATGCCAATCATCATCAGACTCCTTTCGGATTTGAGAATTTTGAGGTGATAGGACAACGGCGAAGGTCACGCAGAGGCCAGCTACAAAAACACGAAGAGGACGAAGAGAAACCTGAAGTTCCTAAAGCATTCTCGTGTGTGCAGCCAGGGTGCCCTAGGACTTTTTCCTCAAGGTTTAAGCTAGTTAGGCATATACTCATTCACTCAGGGGAGCGACGTTTCCAATGTACGAGTTGTGGTCGTCGTTTCCACAGAAAAGATCACTTGAAGAATCATTTACAAGTCCATAACCCAAATAAAATATTACATTCTTGTGAATTATGTCAGAAAACATATTGTTCTTTGCTCTCATATCGAAAGCACTTAGCTCTTCATGCAGCCGAAGCAGGCGATTTAGTATGCAAACTGTGTGGGAAAATGTTAGAAGATCGTGACGGAATTATGCATCATCTTAAAGTTCATACTGGTTCAAGGACTCTGCGAGGTCCAAGTGAGAGAAGATTTCCTTGCGATCGCTGCGATAGATCTTTTTTTACAAAAAAGGATGTGAAGCGTCATCTTGTAGTTCACACTGGTAAGCGTGATTTTGTTTGTCAGTTCTGCCCACAGCGGTTTGGCCGTAAAGATCATCTCGTCCGTCATACGAAAAAGAGTCATATTGTAAACAATAGCCCTCCTTCCAATAATGAACCAGTGCGTAAGTATGAGCCACCTCATCCGTTACCATCTGTCGAAAATCACAAAAGTGGTTCACTTATCGTATCATCATCTTCACTTCCTGATATATCTGGACTTGTGATATCTTCTACCCCAGTTTCACCGATGATGGATGGTTCAGCCATGGAACCACCAGTAAAACCAGATGCATCATATAGTGTTCCCCCACCTTCTAATTTAGTGCAGACCAATTATAATTTAAATTCTTTGCCTAATGAAAATGGTCAGAATTTAGGAAGGTATCCAGAGTCTTCTCTTTTACCAGTATCTCAGTATCTTCCAATGTCTCCATCATATCCAGGTGTGTCTCCCATAATGCCACATCATTATCTTAATATGCCTACTACGGGTAATATATTGTCAGATCTTTTGCCTCCTATGTCAATGGCACCATCTTTTCCTACTTCTTTGACACTTGATGTCAATAATCCACCTTTGCCACATTTCAATCAAGCATTTCAATAATTTCGTAGGCAGTGATTTGAATATTATTCATTTGTTTAGTTCTAGGAAAAATTTACACATTTAAATTGTTGTAGATGTGATCTCTGAAAATTTTTCTGTGTAAATTTTTACATGTTTCAAGATCTGATAAAATGGTGCTCATTGTAAGTTTATTTATATGTGAATACAATACATATCCTTATTTATAATTTTAATATGTAGTACATCTCAAGGAACTAAACCAAAGTTTAACTAGATCTCTGTTAGTGAAAGACTTTTTAAGTCTGATCATAAAGGTTTATTATTAGTAATTAACTTAATTATATATGAATAATTAAATAGTAAGATGTTTAAAAATTTTCATAGCTATATGTTCCCTTGTTATGTTTGATCAAATTATTGTCTGAATGAATTGTTCATATATATAGCTAATTTTTATTTCATGAAGAACAAGGAAGAATACCTATAAACTGGATTTTTATTGTGGTTATACAAATTTGATGTACTCATAGCAGTTCTTTAATAGTATCAAATAATTTTAGTGCGATTATTACAATTATATTATATATATATATATATATATAGTATTTTATTTACTTTTACATGAATTACTTTCTTCAACCATGCCAACATCTCCTCAGCATTTATTAGTAGATACTACTGATTAATGTTGCTAAGTAAGACAGCAAGTTGAGTTTATTGAATTAAGTAAACATTTACATTATTCTACAAAATATTCTTATGTGTTGGAAAACATGTATTTAAAAGTGAATATAATTTGCTATGTGCTGAGTTAATCATACTTCACACTTCATGAATAATTGCAGGGGGTGAGACCATAAATTATTAAAGTAATATTTCAAACAAGTATTGAATTATCACACTAAAGTTTGTTACTAAACCACCACTAAGAAAAAAGAACCAAATCCAAAACCTGCCTTTTTTGGAGAAAAGCACTTTAAAGATTTTTAAATAGATATTTTTTAAAAAACAAAAATTGAAGTAATTACTGCATATAATACTTTGACATATATGTTAAAAATTAACAGATCACAGTCATATCATACTCAAAATTTTTAAATTACAGATGAATAAATGTTGGGACATCATAATAGCATGTTAATTTTAAAGCTTCATTTAGCGTACTAATGCTAGACTTAATAAAATTCTCACAAATATTGTTTGATTTGTGTTTTCATTTTAAATGATGTAGATTGCTAAAAAATACTTACAAATATACAGACCATTTTTCAGTTTTTGACACTTGTTTCCTTTCTTTAAACTAGTAATTCAGTCAACTCTGTTCTTGTTGTCTTTCTTTAAAATGCATTGGAGGTAATGTATTTTGAATATATCCATTCAAATCTTTAATACCTTGCCTGTTAAACATATATGCATATGAGTAATGTTTTATGTCTGTAATTTTAACTTCCCTCCCCCCTTTTATATACAAAGAGTTTGTTCTGTTTATTTTAATTTTTATTATTATGTGTCTTACATCCTCAGGTACTATATTTTTGTTTGTGATTGTTATTTGATTTTGCTACAAGCACTGCCATATAGTTATTTAACTGCTGTGATAAATGCTGAATTAGGAAAAGCATTTCTGCTACAAATAAGAGTCGTTTAAAAATCTAATAGATTTTTTGCATCTTATATTGTAGCTGTTACAGTATTCATAACTAGCTCATTTTGGTACGAATGTACATTCTGAAATATTGTAATTGTGTCAGAATATGAAGGATCTTTGCCATACTAATTAATGTAATATAGTACTCAAGAAAAACGTGATATGACTAGTGGCAGATACACAGGTATATAGTAAGGGCAATAATAATATTCTTCAAATTTAATAAATTTTCACCTGCATATGCATTTAAGTAAAATTTTTTTAATTTATGAAGTTATAAACTGCAATCTGATATTTAAGAAATATAAATTGAGGAATTATTTTTATATATAAAAATCAAACTTTTTTAGCATTAAACTAATTTTGCAAATTAAAAAAAAAAAATTTAATACTGTCACTTTAAAAAAAAAAAAAAAAAAAAAAAAAAAAATTCAGCCTTCATCAATATTCTAGGTTTGCTCTTGTGTATCTACTTAATACTTGTACCTGATTAATAAGATTCAACTTTACAAAACTGAGAGAATCTTCCTGTACCTGATTAAAAAGGTTCTTATATAACTGATCTTCCTTCATAATTTGGCAAGTTAATGTAGAAGTTTGTTGTGTAATAATGCATTTTATACCATAACTCGCTGTGTTCAACTTTTTATTGTATTTTGTATGTGTATTTTGTTCACTTAATATAGAAATTATTAAATTAGCTGGATAAAAAAATACTTTAATGCATATATAAATGAAAAGTGTGATAAATTAATCCCTGTTGTGATCCTTTTTAATATTAGATATATAATAAAATAAAAATTTTGCTGGCTGCTGGAATAAACTGTCAAATAGTGACCAAGGTAAGAGATTGAGAAAGTTTTGTTGAAGATACTTTATGGTTCAAGTGATTGTTTTCTGACAATGAGTGATGAGTTAAAAACCTGAAGTGGCCTTAAATTCCTTAATGATGCCTTAAGGACTGTTTGATGCTGTTAGAAAAGATGATTTGTTTTAGATGTTGACTTGTATAAGACAGAGTAAAAAGTGACTGATGTCTTGTGTAGCATAGAACTTTGATATGCAGCAGCTAGTATAGCTTTGTATCTTGTATTATGCACGGGGAACTTGAGTATGAGATAGACCGGCTATGTATTCTGTTGGTGGAGATTGCCTATAATGAACTTTCCCATGTGTTACTTGAAATAAATCTACTGTTATTAAAAGGAAAGATAAAGACTTATTTTACACAAGAATTGAAGATCTTTATTTTAAATAGCCAGATATGGAGCTTTAAAATAAAAATTAAATGTATGTTGTGTTGCAATTAGTTTTACTAGTCGGTCTGTCTCTGGTTTTTGTTTCTATTGATTTTTAGTATTATATACAGGTATGCTATTCATACAATACCGGTTTATATAATGTCTGTTGTGTTATGTATTTTAATTTTGCATAAATATATATTTTTGTATAGTTAATACAGCTGCACTTTGTGTCGGGACAAAATTAAAACTACAACTGTGCCTTTCAGGTGTTATACCCAGATATATTGTGTATTACAAGTGTGCATTTAAGAAGTCGTTTCGTAATGAGCACATTTAGAAATATTTAATTCCTTTACTCATCCTTCTGCTTGTAAATATATTAATTTGTTAACAAATACTAAGCAGCATCTTTATATAAATTAGGAGTTTCTGTTCCTCTAAAATTAGAAATGCTAAAATGCCCATTAGTAATATTCTTGTTTAATTAGCGAGTTTGGCATGTGTATATGATTATTTATCATTCATTTATTTATATTGTTTTTGTACTTTACTATCTATTGATTTTTTTAAACATTCACTTTGTATTTTAAACCACGATCTCTCTATTAAACTTTGTAGGCTGGGCTTAAAATGTTTTCTGCTGTTAAAAGATTTTTTATTTTTAATTGTTACCACCTGATGTCTTTTATATGCCTTTTTGAGCTGTATTCTATGCTTCTGTCCTTCCCAGTTGTGTTCGTTATCCTCTAGATCACATGTCTTTCATGCAGCTAAGTGAAAATGGAATTTCTTATTTAAATACATCAGGAAAACATTTTATCATTTCTTATTTATTTTGGTTTATGATGTTTTGTGTATCTTGGATACACAAAAACTATATCTTTTTGGTAGAACTTTTCTTTCTTCTCTCTTTCTCCGTTCTTCCTCCCCCCTGGAAATGGGGAGATAACTAACTTTTTTTAGAGATTTACATTCAAGTGTCCTAACAGTTTTACAATCTATTTCCTATGTATTTTTCATCGTTGATAAATTATTTATTCCTTGTTCACTGAATGGGACCATGTAACTTCCTCACATATGTGTGAAACTTTGTACCTCTAGTAAAATGGCTTTTTTTCCCTACAAGTATTATAGTTTGATTTGTATTTGTCTGCTTCTTTATATTATTGTAGGAAAAAATTTTGCTTCTACCTGTTCATTTTAATATTTTATTCCACATTTGAAACATTCCAGGCAGTTTCATAAAAACTACATAAATAAGTAGTTTATTTTTTAAAGTTTTGTGTCTCAGTACTTTTCTTAATTGTCTCGTACGTAATTTATTACTATAAATTTGATCTTAATTTAAAATTTCTGTTTTTTTTTTTAATTAAAACGGGTCAAGGTTATATGTTTAAACAAAAGGACCTTTTTTTTAATGTGGTGCATGCTATATGGTACAGTTCCTTGATTAGTTACTGTGCTCTGTTGAACTGTGAGCACCAGATGGTTTTTGGTATGTATAAGAATAATTTTCTATTTGTGTGTGTTTTATTCCTTCCTATTACTCATTTGTAATATATGAAATGAAAAGTTTTGATAACTTAATAATGTTAATGTAATTTTTTAGAACAAGAGTATATTAGATTAACATAAGTTATTAATGAAAATTGAGTGAAATAGAGAAGATTAAAAAATGTGTTTAATTTCATTGAAATAGTTTTGATTCCTATTTAATTTTTCCTTCCTGTGTAAGCATATTCACTACTTCACATGCTAGCAAACATTGATGTTATTTTTTTAGGGAGTGAGTCCCTGCTACTTCCTCCCTTTCCATAAGTTACTTATGAAAACATTATCAGTTTTTCCAGCTGACAAGATGTTATCTGTATAGCAATTTTAGGTATGGGAACCTTAATTTTTCATGAACTGAAAAAAATTAGCTGATGAAGAATCAAAAGAATAGGGTGGAACTTGGATCAAACTCGTTCACAGTTCTTCAGTACATGAGGTTTGCTTTGACCATGAAATATTAGGAGCAAACAAATTATTTTCTATTTTGAATAGTTAGCTTTTACTGGTGTGGAGAGGGGATTAATTAACTAGATGGGGGTGTTAATTGTTTCTGTGAAATTAAATTGATTGTGGGCCCATGTTTATTTGTCTAAGAGAAAATATATCAAGCCAGTGTTAATGTTTCTTTCTTCTGTGATTTTCTATAGAGTAAAATATTCGAGTGCAGAGAATTTAAAAGATTGCATGTCTTGAATGATTTACCATATGCTCATGTTTTTGGTTTAAAAAAAATGACTGAAATAAGGTATGCTTTCAGATAACAGGTTTTGCTCATGTGTAGTTTATATGTAGATATATTAATTTTTTTTTATATAAGGCACATAATGAAAATACACAAAACTCAAAAATTTTTTGTAGACCCATAAAAATCTGTGTGAGAATTTATTTTTATGTGCAAGTAGTCAGGCAAGCCAAAAAATATCAGATAAACATTTAAACATAACCATAGATTCAAATTTCTGTTTGTCAAAATGTTGTATTCAAAATATTTTATATCTGACAAAGTAAAATTTTATACAACCCGCTAAAAACATGACTTTTCAGATGCATAACAGTAATTTGAATCATATAATGCTAATAGTTTTATCCGGGCAATTTTTGAATATCATGAACTAGATTCTGTTGGGGCTAATTTTGAATATTGTAAAGTAGATGCTATCGGGGCTAATTTTGAATATTATGAACTAGATTCCCTCCCCCCCCCCAAAGAGATAAGGTAAAATAAAACTTAACTTTTGTAGTAACTTAACTTTTTTCAAAGAGCACTGATATAAAAATTTTAATATGATGATAATTTTACTGAATGATGCCATTTAACAAAAATTATTATTATCTGAAAATCTATTTTTTTTATTAATTTTTTATTTAAAAGCATGGCTCTATAAGGTAAAATAAAAACTGTAGTAGTTTTTTTTTTTTTTTTTTTTTTTTTTTTTTTTTAACAGCACTAACATGATTTTAACATGATGATAATTTTACTGAAAGAAGCCACTTAACAAAAATTGTCATAGCCTAAAAATCTACTTTATTTCATTCATTTTTTATATTAAAGCATGGCTGTATAACCTACCATTAAAGAGATATTTTATTTATTTTATTTGTATAATCTTTCTCAGTATATTATAATTAGGCAAAAAGAAAGGTTAAATTGGCAGTTTTTATGTAAAACTCGTTGATTTTATAGTTGATTATCATATTCCTTTCTATATAGGACGAAACAAAATTCTGCCAAAATATTGCACAAATATTTTTCTCTATTATCTTCTGCAGTAAAAAATTACTCCTCATTAATTGATAAATGCTGACCTGAATTTTTATTCAAATTCTAATAATATAATCTCGATAATTATGGTTCAGGTTAAAATTTATGGTTATAAAAATGATATTTTTATATTGAAGTTTTTTCTTCCTCAAGCAGTTTAAAAATTGTAGTTTTGCTAGATGCCCGTAAAAACATTTTTCACAACTTTTTATTACATGGATTACCCACTTTACTTTCAAAGGATTTGAAATTGTATTCAAGTAGAACTTTAATTTTAGCAATCAATCAAACATTGAAAAGAAGAGATTGCTAAGTAATTTGGATGCAGAAATTTACTTTTAAAATGCATTGAATTTCAGAAGTTAAGAATTATATTTACTTCTTATTTTTTTAACTTAAATATTTAAATGGATTCTGGATTGAAATAATTTTTGAATCTTCCAAAAAATTTAAACACTTCCCCCCCCCAAAATTCTTTTATTCTTTGTATTATAATAAATTGCTTATTAAGGAAAGTGTTCTGACCTTAAATTATAGTTTGGGAAAATTTTGATTTTTATATAGTTGTGAAAATTTTTAGGATACATATTTCTGTTTACCCTTTTTTAATTATGTATGAAACCTGAATAAAATTAAAGAGATTAGCTTGCTGAATCAAATTCTTTGTAAATTTTTTCTTATTTCTTCTTTTAAAAAATGTTTAAAAGTAACATTTCATATGTTCATGTTAAAAAATGTTCTCACAAAAGAGTTTCTCATTAAAAATATTAATTAAATTTTATTTACATGCTTGCTATTAAATATCTCAGTGTAATAGGAAGGAAATCCTGGAAAAGGAAAATCATTGAAAGGTTAATGTTTAATGTTCCTTATGATGAAGTGCCAATGTCATTTTCATCTTTTCTGTTGTGTTTTAACAAATTCAACTGAATTTGTGTTTCTTGTGTGTAAAATTATGCATAGTTTTATTATTATTAATGTGTATGTAGTGTAAATGTCTTGTGTTCCGTATGAAAATAGTTTTGGCTGGGGCTGTTTTGTAAAGTTCTCATTCTTTTCTTCTAATATTTACATACATAAAGAATCATAAATTTGAAGTTTTTTAATTTTATTTCCAGTAATGTCATTAACATGTACTATTAATGTAAGCAAGTATTTTATCTCCATATTTTCAATAAGCTATAAAATATCAAGTGAATTTTAAAAGTATTATTTTATAATTGCTAGTTCATCAATGATCTATATATGTGCCTTTCAAAAATTGTTCTAAAAAATTCATTGTAATTTTGATATATCAAAGATCTAATGGTAAATTTAAGCTTTATAATCTCATGTTCTGCATTGCTGCATTAATTCTGGCTAATGTAATCTTGCCAGAGAAAAGGAAAGGCTTCTGCTTTGCTCAATTGTAATGCATTTCAGGATTATATCATCGCATATTTTAGTGTAGTGCAAGGAAAGTAAGTTGTATTTAGTTTTTCCCCCAAAGTACATTGTATAAAAGTGAAGATAATTTTATCTTATTGTTTATGATGTAGAACTTTTTATTTGGAATTGGCTTTTTTCATATGAAAATTCTTTTATGCACTGTTTTTGTATTTGGAGCTGGCTTTTTTCATTATTATTATTTATATTTTAATGTTTTTTTTTATGCACCAGTATTTGATAATATCTTTCAGAGATTTTTATAAAAAGCAATTTGATACAGCAGTGTCTTTTCAAAGGGTAATGGATAGTTTTTATGTATTTTTTAATGAAAATATGTTGATGAAGTTCTTAAATTTGTAGATAAAACAACTTTGATCTCCCTGAGCTTCCACACCACCGGTGTTGAATATATGTTGGATATTGTTTAAAAAAAGTTTAGTTATTTCATTTTTAATTTTACAATGCCACTAATCTTGGTTTCCCTTTTTTTAAAAGGCAGATTTTTGACTTTCAATACAAAATAAGTATTCTATATATATATATATATTGTTTATATTTCATAAAAAATGTTGGCTAACTGGTACATATTCAATAGTTTTGTTGGATCATAAGCGTTTTCTAACACTTAGCTGTTTCAAGTAGCATAAACTTGTTGCTTTTTAAAGCTTTGGATTATAAACAGAAGAGAAGTATATGCTGTAACATATAACTAAACTTCATCTGCCTAAGCTTTGTCGCAGATATTGGAATGATAATGGTATATGAAAGCCATATTTCAACATAATAAATTTATTTTTGTTTTTGTTGATAATTTAAAATATAGTTGGTTATCTCAAATTTGATTTCAAAATTGAAATTGAATAAATGTTCTGAAGTAAAAGGTATAATAATCATGAGTGTAATTAATCTCAAAGTGAATAAAAAATTTATCAATGTTTTGACAAAAAACCTTTCACTGCAAGAATCCTGATTGAATATGAATAATAATCTATATGTTATATAGCAATTGATATGGGAAGTATTTTAGATTAATTTTTATAATAGTAATGAAAAAATAGTTTTAGGTTATTGTAGTTTTATTTCAGAAGCTTTCGATATAAAACTTAAAGCCTAAGGCAGTTTAGAAACACCTTCATGGGAATTAAAAATATTTGACAAAATCTCTAATACTTCTGTATATTTAAAGGTATACAAAATATTCTGATTGTATTATATAGTAAATTTTGAAATTAATCTGAAAAAAGGAAACTAAGATTATGCTTAACATCTGGTCTTTAATTTTCATCTGTAGGCTTTAGGTATGGTAGATGCATTATATAAAGTATTGTAGAAAGGTAAAATTAATTTAGACCAGAATAATTTTGTTAAGAAACTTGGCTGTTTTTTCAAACCCGCGTGAAAATATGAATGTTATCCAGTGTCTGCTATCCGGTTTTAATTTGTATTTTATGTTAATTTTGCTTTTCGTATGCTTTTGTGTTTCGTAATTAGAATATACATATATGTTTTTGTATTGTTTTTGTTGTACAACTTTGCAGCACTGAGTGTCTTGCTCGGTGTGCTCTTGGATCCATTCTACCTCATTACAGCTAAAACATGTAACATTCACATGTTGTTAAAAGCTGGTCATTGTGTTTTTTTGGTCATAGTATTTTTTGTCTTTTAATTTAGACTTTAAATATGTTTTTAATTATAAATTTGGTTATTTTCTTCATTTATGTAATATTATATTAGACTGTGTAGTTTCATATATTTACTGTGTTGAGCCTAATAATATGGAAATAAGGATGCCTGAAAATTACTGAACAAACTAAGAATAAAGGCGTTATTCACTAAATTCATGTTGTTAAAAATTCAGAATCTTTCAAAGATATATCTATTTATTCTTAAAAAGTCTATTAATTAACAGAAAAAGTTGTGATCTTAAAAAGAAATTTAATTTCCATGTTCCAAACAAGTTGAAATTTTGCTTGATGAAGCATTCTAAAAATAAAAATTGTTAACAATTCTTTGCTGGTACCTATCTGAATCAGAAGTGTCTCAGTCCCGTGCCATGAATTCATACATCATAATTTTCAGCATCTTGGCAGATTAAATCGTAATCAGAACCAAATAATTTTTACCTGTCTTTTTTTAAACTTGGTTATCATGCTTTTAACCGAGGTATCAACTGAACATTTTAATTCTGTTTTTGAAATATTTTTTTAACTGAGATATCAAGTCATTATAAAAATATAATTACCCATATCAGTCTAGGAGAAGCTCTCATATTGAATTTAGAAAGAGATGTTTCTGGAATATTTAATTTCATGTTTTCTGGCTGTTATTACTCACCTCCCGCAAAAAAAAATAAGGATGCAGAAATATGGCATATGCAGCATTCTTTTTCAGAGCTAAAATCATGTTTAGGTCTAAAAAAGCATTAATAATTCTGAGATTCTTAATTTTGGTAATTTTCAGTTATTTTAAAAAGATTTGTATTGTACATATTATATATATATATTGTCATGTGTTTTCTGTTTTGCAAAATATATCTGAAGCATAGTGAAATTTTCATTAGAATAAATTTTTCAAGCAAAGAATTTATTAAAATTGTTTTGCTATAAAGATTTTGATATTAAGAATAAAAAGAAAAAGCACTTAAATAAATCATATATTAACTAAAAAATATATAAAATATCCTCAATGCGTCAATTAATTCTGTAGTTTACCTAAAGGAAACTACAATTATGCTTTACTCTTGTTTTTTCTTCTGAAAGCATCAGATATAGTAGATATACCATACAAAGCATTATAGGAAAAGAAAACTTTTTTAAACCAGGATAATTAGCGCAAGCTTGCCTGTTTTCAAACCCGCGTGAAAATTGTATGTTATCCATTGCCTGCTATCCGGTTTTAATTTGTAATTTATATTAATTTTGCTTTTTGTATGCTTTTGTGTTTCTTAATTTTTTATATATATCTACGTGTTGTTTTTGTTGTATAACTTGCAACATTGGAGTTTTATACTCAATGTGCACTTGAAAT